AATGTAATATAATAAATAAATGATAAATAAATAAATGTAGTGTTATATATAAATAGATAGATAATTAAATAAATAGATAAGTACACTACAATAGTATAGATAGTATAGAATAGTACAGATATATAGATTAACATGAACAAAACATTTTGTAGACTTCATGCAACATAGTGTTAGGAATAAAATTAGTACCGTGCTATAGAATTGGCGCAACTCTAGATTATCGGCATAAACGGCACGTCCCTAGCTGACAGCTGTCAATGTCACTAGCAGTATGGATAGATTGGCGCGCAACTTGAGTCTTGACGAGAAGTATTGCTCTGAGTTAAAAGCGACAGTATCAAATAAATAAGTTGTCTAATAATAGATAGTTTGAAAATGATTATAATTAGACCAATATATTATGTACATACCCAAGATCTATAGAATTCTCTTTCACTCATTATTCTTGCAGTTTAACCAATTAATTTAAGGAATTAACACTTTAATTAAAGTCGCGACAGGCACGTCACTAGTCGTATATATGCCGACGCTAACTGAACATATGATAAGGATATAGTGCGTGTTATCTCGGCGGACTGTCACACCGTAGTAACATGATAACTCCATAAGTAAAAATGTGTAAAATACTAGCTTTCGCCCGCGACTCCGTTCGTGTGGAATTAAAAAAAAACAGTAGGTTATGTGTTCTTCCAGACTGTCTTCTACATTTATACCAAATTTCATCGAAATCCGTTCAGCTGTTTAGGCTACAAACTCTAACAAACATCAATCCATCTAAACTTTCGCATTTATAATATTAGTATGAAGTATGATTGTTTGTTCACTTGCAATTAAGTTTATTTAAACTTTTTTTTATGGAAAATATAAGTAGAGTTTTGTTAATTTAGTAAAATTTCCTATAACTCCAACAATAGTCGAATGGCGGGATTGGAACCCTGGAACGCAAGATCGTTAGTCCGTACCCCAAACCATTAGGCTATTGGCGCTAAGTAAGATAAGATTCTTCCAGTCCTAAGTGGTTCTGCTAAAGGTAGTTCGTACCTTGAGTTTGCGCCAAACAAATACTATAAATGTCAAAATACGCTTCGGTGTGAATGTAGCCTTAACAGAATACAATGAAAATAATTGTTACACTAATTTCTATTTATGTGAGGGTAAGAAGTACGTAACAGTAAAATTTCTAATTATAAATGTAAGTACTTTATCTTGTTTACCAAATAACTTGAAGATTACATTTTAAGTTATAGAGATATTACCAATTTACGTGAGATTTTAACGATTATTTTATTAACTAGCTGTTGCTTGCGATTTCGCCCGCGTGAAATTAAAAAAATAATACAAAATTTATACTATGTTACTCACAGATAAATTACCATTCTAATGGTGAAAGAATTTTTATAATCGGCCCAGTAGTTTTTGCGTGAATCAAATACATACAAAAATACAAATATTTCCTTAAATGTAAATAGTTAACTTGGAAAGAATATTGCCTAAACACCCATTAAGCACTTCAATAACCTATGTTTCGGAGTTGCAAAAAATTTTTTACAAATGTAATCATCATTGTCAGTTTTAGGTAGTCGACTGCTGAACGTAGGCCTGTAATATTCATGTTTACAAGCTGTTTTGTAAAATTCCACGCGAGTTTTCATACACAGATGTACAAACATAAGCCGTTGTTGTTTGAAATACACATGTTACTAATCTTACTAACATTATAAATGCGAAAGTTGAAATGGATGTTTGTTAGAATTTGTAGCCTAAACTGCTGAAAGGATCTTAATGAAATTTGGTATAAATGTAGAGAATAGTCTGGAAGAACACATAAGCTACTCATTTTTTTTAATTCCACGCGGAAGGAGTCGTGGGCGAAATCTATTTCCTTAATAAACGAGTAGTCAATTTTTAAATATACAATGTAATGCGAAATTCTTGTTTATTTTTTTAACGAAGTCTTGTTAAAAATACGATAAAAACCAGACAATGGCACGGTTTTTTTTATATAAATGTATGTATTTGTTGAATGGCGTTATCTATCAACAAGCATCTATTTAAACATCTTCCGTGTGACAATTCAAATTGTTTCATATTTTTAAAAACCCTAATAAATACTCATCACCTCTCCTGCCTTATCCTACTCCCGTAGGGTCGGCGCGCCGGGTCCATCATCAGGCCATCAGTCCATCAGTCCCTTCTTGATCATTTCACCTTTCACGCAATACATCCATCTCTTTCGCCTACCTCTACCGGTGTACCCCCCTATAATCATAACTAACGACCATCTTGTTTCATGCGATTCATCCCTCCTCATAACATGCCCATACCACGTTAACCTTTAACTCCTTATTTAAAGAAAAAAAACCAATTAAATACATATTTATTCCATTTTCAATTCAACTTCTGGTTCATAATTACGTTTTTTAATAAGTGCAGGTTCAAGAGGTTATAATCTTTTAACAGCTTTTGCCCTCGATAGCGTCCAAGTGGCATTAAAAAAAAACAAAAGTGAGTAGCCTATATATTCATCCATACTATCCTCTATATCTATGCCTTATTTCATTGAAATCCGTTCAGCCGTTTAAACTACAAACTCTTAAAAACATACATTCATTCATCCATCTAAACTTTCGCAATTATGCGAAATAGATGGATGACTAATACTAGTAATTAGGAATATTATAATATTAGTAAGATAAATAAATAGTAATAACTTTGATTAATATTAATTATGATTATGAAGTATGATTATCTGTCGCCTGAGACTTGAGCCACGTAATTCTTCATATTAAAAAAACTGAGTAGTCTATGCGCTAGTCTACAATATAACCTATCTCTGAAACTTTCATCCAGATCCGTCATGCAGTTCTGGTGTTACGAATAAACGGATGGATGTATGGATGCATTGACTTGTGTCATACCAAGGGCGGATACAGGGGGGTCATAGAGGACATGATCCCGCTGAGCTGGTTCGTCAAGAGCTTGACAAAATATATTTACATATTTTGTCAAGCTCTTGACTTGACAACGACTATGGGACCCCTCTTGGCGCCAAAGATGGATCCCCCTTGTGTCATACAGACTTACTTAAGATAATAGTTCCAGACTAAAGATATTGTACCTTGGTTTAAGATAAACGTTTGTCGACCTCTAGAGGTCATATTTGATATCGGTAGAACGAATTACGAAATTGCTTGTATGAATAATATTTAACCAGCATGTTTTAATATCGCATATTTATATGTTACATCATTCACTATATTCTTTGGTTTTTTAATTAAAAAAAAAACATCAAAAAGTACATCTATATCTATACTAATATTATAATGAGAGATTTGGATTTTTGTATGTATTCGATTTATGTAAAAACTACTGTGACGATATTAAAAATTCTTTCATCATTAGAATGGTAATTTATATGTAACATAGGCAATATTTTTTATTACTTTTTTAATTTGACGCGAGCGAATCGCGAGCAAATATGAAATATGAAAGGACGATTTGTTGGTTTGATAGTGTAGACAAAATTATAAAAGATAAAATGTTTTTTCGAATAATTCGTTCATATTTCAACTTACAAATATCTATATGATTCCACTGTAAATGGTATATTAAGATAAACGCGAAACTACGATTCTTATCTACAATAAGGTCAAAACATTAAGATCAATTAAAAATAAATCTAAATATAATTAAACAATAAAACAAATTACCTTGCTTAGCATATCCATTTTTCAATAAAAGAAAGAAAATTTAAAAAGAAATCACTACGTCACGTCAACGTCAAAGTTTGGCGGGAAAACTGTCACAGAATATTCCCGACGCGCGAGCACGACTCTCGTCAACTAAACAATAAAACGATCGACGCATTACTTATATGAATGTTCAGTTATCATCGCAGTGAATAGTTTGTCCGTAGAGATTAGCTACTGTGTACATGAATCTAGTTGTACTCGTATTAAAAATATATTACGTTATACATGTCTTACGTGGAAATAGGTAAGTAGGTTATGTCTGAGTAATCACAACCTTTTTAAATTTTTCCCGCTTAATAACAATTGGTTCTCCCTAACCTGTGTTATCTAACACAAGTGTGACCACGTATTTTCTACCGCGGATCCGGTCTTTTAGAAGATGCTAGAATAGTTCGTCTTATAATCTCTGGGTTTATTTAATTTCGACAAAATATATTTTCATATAATTATGTTTGTGTACTTAAAAAGTTTGTATTTGCGTTTTTTTCTTAATCATAGCAACATAGGTTTTCCAGCATATATCTTCATTTATTACTAATCGGTGACGTAACGCTTTCCTACTATTGAATTCCCATATTACGTATTTCATTAGAAAATAATGGCCGCAAAAAGTAGTGTATGGACGAAGAGTAATGTTGCCTTTGCCTTTGGCCAGTCCCTTTAAAAAAACACGAGTCACATCACAATATTTCAACGCATGTATACTCTATGTTCTATGACTTTGTACTTTGCGTGTTGTTAATATAAAATGTTTACAACTGATTATTACCGTAACTACTAATAAAATTAAACCCTTTTTCCACTAACAGATTTAGTCTTGATTTATATGAGCAAATATTGTACCATTTTCACTGAGAAATGCTATCCAGGAAGACAGTACAAGTATTCTGTCTGTTTTAGGCATTAAAAATTATAATCGAGAAATAAACAGATTTATAGGCAATTTATTACAACTATTGCGTGACATGCTCGCAACGTCTTTACGTATATAGTTGACGCGAGTTTAAATTTTATTATAAAATTGCAATAAAAAAAGTTTAAAAATCAAAAGTATTAATATGTATTATTTAAATATCGCAGATTTGTACGCATTTTTATTAACACTTGTAAAGTATGTCGTGTTTTTCTCGATTACGAATAACAATATTTCATCGCAATACGCCAAACAATACAAACAGTAAGATAATAGAAGTAGTTACTTTTAAGTATATGTTAAATAACTACCTTTATATGTTGGAAAATGAAGTAGGAAAAACGTGATTCTAAATAGCATCGTCACCATGCTTAAGGTATTTTAATAATATGTAGATATCTTGTAATCTAAGATGCGAGGAAGTATTTGTAATGATAAAATAAAATTGCAATATGATATGGTTTTCTAACAAAACATTGTAGACCATATATTATGTACTTGTTTTGTGGTTAGCCACAATACAAAATGGCGGTAAAATTGACACCTGTCAGTTATAACTGCGAAGAAAAATATAAATATGATTTATAAAAAATACAAATGATACCTCAAACATATAAATATGTTTATTTTATCCTTTATTTAATCTATATTTATACTATTATAATAAAGTGTAAACACACACTTTTTGTTGCCTAAGATGTCAGCAATTACAGCATATATTTTAAATACTTTTTTTTTTAATAAAAAGCCCTACACTTGCGTCACGCTTTAGGCTATAAATTTTCACGCCGTTAAACTTAAGGGTAAATATTTTGGATAAAAACCCTAATGTGGGAAAGAGACCATAAGTTGTTGCCGACATCAAGGAAGCAAGTTTGTCATGGTTTGACATCATGTCATGTCATTTTGACGATTCCAATTGTTAATTTGACACATGTAAACAATATAACATTTTTTTTATAATTTTACGCGGATGAAGTCGCACGGGAACAGCTAGTTACTTATATTAATAATAAAATAAATAAATAAATAAAAATACTTTTATTGTTGTCACAAAAACAGTTTCTTATGAGCTAAATAAAAAAAAAAAAGTTAAATCGACAACAATGGGCTGCAGGCTCAGCGTGGACCGCATGACCTAAGCCATGCGGAGCTGGTTTTCAGCCTTTCAATTTGGATAAACATTCATATATAGTAGGCTATACTCTTACTTTTTTATAATAAAAGGTGACAAATGAGCAAGCAACCATTGGAATTCCCTAAAATAAGCCCATAGACATCCACATATGCAGATATCTAACTCTAGTAATGGAGGAAAGATGCCCAGAAAGAGGATATTTCCCCTACCTATGCTTCCAATTCCCTGATCTACCCTTTCCTTAACAACAGGTTGGAAAGGGAAGGTCTTAAATACCTTAAGTGAATAAACTACTAAATTTATACATGCTTTTAAAATATTTCATGCATTGAAATTATCTAAAACAGATAATAATAAAAAAATTATAATATTTAATATAAATATAATAATTAGAAGTTATCCGCAATCATAGAAATAAAACCTGTTACCACATATTTTATTATCATGCTTTACTTTTATTTATTTTACCTATAGAAATGTATTTAATAATGTTTCGCTTACCGCTGGCCTCAGCCTGCTGTCATATGTCTGTAATTTATAATTTCACATTTATTTAGCCAATATCTATGTATAAATTAAAATATATAATATCAAATACAGCAACACAAAAACTACTTGAGTATAGAAATCATAGTTTCTGGTCAAAAATAACTCATTCTATTAATAATTTGAATCCCAGAGACCTGAGTATTAAAAGTCTGCATTTTGAATTCATATCCATTATTTATTTACTTTATTAATCATATGTAATGTTTTCAGTAACTTTTCATTTTATCCAAAAAGGTTATATAATTTACATAATAGCAAACAACAACAAAGGAAACTCAGAAAAAGTGTGCGAAAATACCGTTTATTGCGCATGTATACGAGGTAATAAAAAATACCAATTACTAATTTTTTAAAATACTTTGCATTGATAAATTACCGCCTAAAAATTTTTATCTGATTAGTAAACTAATTTGTGTTATTGCAAAATAGATAAAAATAAACTAAGCAATGTCGTTAATAGGGTTTTTTATGACCTCTAGGGAGCATCAAGGTCGAAGAGATAAATAAAACGATAAAATATTATTATTGACAGTTACGTGATAGTGTTGGTTGAGGTCCGTGCACTTAGCTCTGATAATGTCTCATTACCTTCTTATCTCCTTCTCTGCTATCTGACATTGTTGATTTAGTTATAAAACTATTAATATGTTCGAAACAATAAAACACTTTGGACGCCGCTTGATACCGTTGACTTTTTGACAGTCAGGTGATTGTCAATTTGACATTTTTGAAAAGGGTTCCTTTTTGTCGGGTTCATTGAATCTTAAAATTGCAACAGCACTTTTATTATTGTAAACAGCATAAAATCGAAAAAAAATATTTAATCTATGAATATTCTACACGTTTCAGATAAGAACACAAAATTTTCTGGTTATGTTTATGAACAATTTGAGATCTCAGATCATCTCAATAAAATGTTCTTTGAAGGGTTATTTTAAGTAAATATTTTTACTATTTATACTTCGAGTATTGTTCCAGCAACAAATTAAGTACGTGCGATAATTGCAGATTTTTTCTTTTAAATATATTGGTTTGCGACTGAACTTACACTATTGCCATTAGAAAATTACAGGCGTGAAACGGATTTTATTCATTTTAAGAGTAAAGAGGTTAAAAATAATGCGACAATGTGGTCTATTCACGAAGCGATAACTTTATTTTCATATATTACATAATCTAGTTTAATGTTTGGCGGCGAGTGCCGACAGGTCTGCAATGCAACGGTCCAGGGCCTGCTTCTCCTGGTCTGGTGTGATGGCTTTTGTGACATTGGTGACAACCCAGTCCACCATCGCCTTCTGAGCTAAACGACGTTCCACGTTAGATTTCTCCAGCTGGTAGTCTAGACGACGTTTGACCTGCAAAAACATTTACAGTTAATAAACAGATAATAAACTAGACCAGAGGTAGTAAACAATATATTACGCATCAGTTATCACAATATTATTTAGTCTATACTAATATTATAAAGAGGAAAGATTTTTATTTTTGCATTTTTGTATGTATTGGAATAACTCAAAAACTGCTGAGCCGATATCAAATATTCTTACACCATAAAACAGCTGACGTAGGCTATTTTTTGTTAATTTTATAATATTACGCGGACGAAGTCGCGGGCAACAGCTAGTAATGTATATTAGGTAGATCAGGAATCAGTCAGAAGGTACTTTTTTTTAATTTACATACCAGCTAATGCATCGGACTTCACCGGTGTGAAAATAAAAAATAATAAAAAACATAGCCTATGTTACTCAGTGATAACATAGCTTAGAGTTATTTCAATACATACAAAAATCTAAATCTTTCCTCTTTATAATATTAGTATAGTAGTATAGAATAATTTACAAATTCCATACCTCTGTGTAAGCGTTCATCATACGCTCCCTGTAAGCGGCTTCCAGCTGCAGAAGAACATTCTCCTTCTTAGCCTGGATCAGCAGTTCCTGTCCCTGCGCGCGCCACTGCGACGTCTTCTCATCTTCTATCGCCTGCTCCAGGTCTTTGATGTTCTGCACACGACCCTCGTTCCAGCCGCTCTCTACTGCCTGAAGAATAATTGATAATTTTTATAAAATGTAAACAAACTTAGATGTTTCGATGAATGTTTGTAGCCTAAATGGCTGTATGGATCTCGAGGAAATTTGGCATAGACATAGAACAGATAGGCTACTCACTTTTGATTTTTGTAATTCCAAAAGACGGAGTCGCAGGTGAAAGCTACACCATATTTTTAAATAATCATTTTTTGAATAAACACACTAAGCTAAGGGCAAGTTTTTGTAGAAGTCTACATTTTCGATTATTAAAACTAGTGTTGTCAATTTTTTTTTAACTATATGAAAAAAAACACTACTTACGTCAACTTCCTTGTCGAGCCATGTAGCAATCTTCGGTCCAAACTTAGTGGTGGCATAGTAGACCATCAGGAAGATGGATAGACCAGTGTAGTACTCATGCTCCATCACATATATCTCCTTGCTGAACAGGTATGTGGCCAGACCAACACCGAATGTGTAGGGACCTGTTACTCCTGTCTTTGAGTGGAAGAATTGGAACCTAAACAGATTAAAAAAAAATTGTAAGAAAAACCATAGTTTTGTGAATCAGTGATTGGTGTTTTTAATATTACTAGTATTCTGAATAAATGCAAAAACTGACTTTATCATTACCATAAATTGTTTTAAAATTAAGAACAGCGCCATCTAGTAAAACAATTAAGTTTCTTATTGAGAATTTTTTTTTTTAATTAACCACTTGAAAGCAGTTATTTTTAGTTTTATCATTAAAATTTTGGACATATGCTAAAATACACTTTTTAAATCTAGTATTGTAAATGCGAAAGTTAAAATGGATGGATGTCTGTTAGAGTTTGTAGTCTAAATGGCTGAACTCATCTCGGTGAAAATTTGGGACAGTTGTAGAGGATTGTCTAGAACACATAGGCCCCTTACTTTTGTTTCTTTTTTAATCCCACGCAGACAAAGTCGCGACCGAAACCTAGTATAACATAACTTTGAAACTATTTACCATTCTTCAGGAACAAATCCAAGTCTGACTTTGCCGGGCTCCCCTCGTACTGGTCTGGGAAAGTTCTTCTCATCGCGCACTCCCGCCACGTCGGAGGCGGAGCCCCGCGCTACTAGCGCTGTAGTAGCGGACTGACGAGCAGCGGCTATAAAATAACAATCAAAAACCATTAAAGACAATGTTTTTAGGCACTCATAAGATCTAAATCTATGCTCTAATAACATAACACAGAATTAATTCGAGTTATTACTAGTAATTAAGTTAACATTAGTTAAAATACATATTTTACTACAGTAATTTGATGAAATAGTGATTTTATATTACTCCAAAATGTTTACTTTATAACATAAAGATGAGAGACAATTTTTCTTTACATAATGAAAAAACTACTGAATATTGGGTTAATGTATTACACTAATTGTTTAATTATAACTAAATTTATGTTACAGGTACAGAATAAAATAATTTAAATACAATATTAAAAAGCATGCCAGTTTCTCTTCACCATCTTCAAAATGTAATTTTTCTGTAAAGTTACGATAAATAAATCATTATTATTTTTCAAGTGTAACAATGCTTTAGGCTTTTAACAGCTGAAAAAGGTAACCCCACTACCATATGAGATATAAGTTAGGAAGACTGAAAAAGTATTTAAGCTTTTCACAGACCCTCATTTTAAAACTACCCATAATATCTAATTTGATTAGTACAAATAACAGTTACATAGGAGGTAAAGTAAATTACCATCCCATCCCTAATTTACAAATAAAAATTACCAATACAGCTCCATAGTCATTCATTATGCATTCAAATGGCCTTAAATAGAAATACAAAGCAAGACAAGTAGGAATAATTGCAAATATAGCATAATATGGTAGTTTAAGAACAATTTTTAATAAAAATCCTGCAGAAAATGTAACAGCACTTGTCAAATTGGTGATTACATAAACCTTGTAAGACATAGGTTATGTAGATTCCAGTTTTCAAATAATTATTTAATTTATTGAGAATATTGTACGTACCTGAACGCAAAGCTATACGTGATAGCATTTTAAATTCTGCTATTATAGTATATTAAAATTAAACAAGCAGCCGCAGACTCGGGCCAAAAGTACTTTGCGTTAGAGAAGTTCTTTATCAGTCGATTTTAGTTTTTGACAGTGACATAAGAAAAGTATAGATACCGATTCTGATACGAGTAAAAATCGGAATGTCGGAATTTCGATCAAAGCTTTGTTTCACTGTATTTTTAAATAAGAGTCAATTCCAATAATACAACCTAAAAAACTATTGAGTTTTCTGGAATTAAAAATGATAGGAAAAATAAACTAAACTTTGAAGTCTGGAACAGTAGGATATTGTATTATTTATACGTATTTGAAACAAGGTGTTGTTTAATAAGAGACTGAAATTCTTATAAAGTGATACCTTGAAGAAGCTTGCTTTTACTAAGATTTCTGTTGGCCACACTTTGACCTACTTTTTATTAGTTGGCTATATTTTCAGTTATTGATCCAACATCCATTTCATTGTAAACAGTTGTCGAACTGTTTTCTTGTGATATTTACTCCAGAACTACTAAATATTTTAACTTGATTCATTCAAACTTAATATCAGCAATGGCAAATATAAATACCATACTTTGGAAACGAATGGTGAGTACCGAGTTTTATTAATGAATCTACGGAATAAATCTTAATATTTACAATCCGTAGCGCTTTTGTTCAATACTTGTTGATTGCTTCAATTCATTGCTATGAAATTATATTGTAGTTGGATTTTATATTGTAATTTGAAAAAAAAAAAACTAAAAAGGAGGATTCATGCACTTCAAAAGTTTCCGAACGTACCTTAACAGTGTTGCTCGTTACTAATGATTAAAATGTAGAATTTTTCCAAAAAACTGAACTGCACTTCTTGACTACTAACTTATGCTTAATTAACTTTAGCGATTGCTTTTTTTAAAATTTCAATCTCAAAACAAATTGAAGTGTGTTTTAAAACAATTTTCAATTAAAGTTAAACCATTTTATAAATAGTACAAAATCGATACAGCTACTGGCATCACCAGAAGGTTACAGATTATAGATTTTTGCGACAGGTGGCGAATTGTGGATGTTTAGTGAATGTTTGTTGTTTTTGTGGTTTAATGTTATTGATTGTGATGAAATAGTTATGAATTGTAGAAAAGTGTAATATTAATTTTAAAATGGGGATATTTATGTCCTGTTGTAAACCCTCGGCGTCGGACGTGATAACTCCAGATGCCGTAAGTTTATCGACGCAAAGTTTTTTTCCTGTTTAGTTTCTATTTATCTATTTATTAAGTCGTTACGAAATAACAATATACAAATGTATGCCACAAATACATTAATAATTCACAACGAACCATCTTATTGTTTCGCAGTTATAAGTTTTTATCGATTTCCTATTATTACTACTGTTTAAATATTTTTTAATCACCAAAACAATTAGAATGTTATATCTTTAGACATGTATGAGTTATTAAGCATCATTTTGTTAACTATAGTCCTTACTACATAAAGATTAACACTAAATACTGCTCTAAATTCTGTATCCAGGAGACAAGACGACGTCAGCAAGTGGAGGCAGCGGAGAAGAGGAGAGCCGAGGAGGCAGCTCGCGGTGTGAAGGACCCGGAGAGAGTGAAGCGCATGCAGCAGAGGGCTGAGGAGATGGAGCGCAGGGAGCAGGAACTCCAGAAGGATGGGGGAGCTACCCTGAAGGTAGGTGTAAATTACTTTGTAGCTCATATGTATAGTCATTGAAATATATCTAAAAAGCCATTGTTTATGCCTCTTATTGTATGGACAAAATCAAACGCTGGTACTTAGTTTCATGGTTGTTTAATTACTGTGTTACATTTTGGTTGTAATAAAAATGAATAGATTAGCGCGAGATACGATGCATGACCGCGCAGATTGACAGACGAAGTGCAAGATAGTGAATGAATGTACAATAGGGATGTCCGTGTGACACTGTTGCTAGTGATGTCCGTAGTCAATCATTAGGGAACCATATGAAGGTGACATAGGTGCCAACAGCCATTGTAAACTATAGCATATGTTACCTAAGTGCTTTGATTTCTGCCAAATTCAAAGTTTTCTTGATTTGTAGTTATATGTTTAGTCAGAGAATTAAATTCACTACCCACTTACATCATTAATGCCAAAATCTGCAAATGTTTTATAGGATAATGACTTTTTACAGAAATTGATAGGAAATAAATGTCTAGTTAGTTAATTATGCATCAATATTGACATTTTAAAGCAAATACTACCTTCATAGGATGTTTTGGCTTCTATGAACTAATGTATTATTAATTATTTTCGTAATGTATATTCCAGTGGACGGCCGACTGAGATGAGGCCCCAGGGGAGGGGGGAAGCAGTCAGCAAACGAAAAATGACAAATACAAATACAAAAATTGATGTTCTCAACTCACACTGTCAGCGTAATTTGAGTTGGCACATTCAAAACAACAGTTATCCTTTATCTGATGTGCCAACTCATACGCTAAATATGAAGCTTGCTACTTAGTTTTTAAGTTGCTGAAATCAAAGTTATAGTTTTGTTGATTTTTATAATTATTGTTACATTTATTTAATATTATATTTCAAACTCTAGTTATATTATTTAATTCCATATTAAATGTATTTGTTCATAATTATGTTAGTATGTGTTTAAACTAGGTATATTACATTCATTATTATGGGTACTCACATATACACTGCAAGTTAAGTTATCAATGTGACTTAAAGTATGGCACATTACATATAAGCTAGCTGTTGCCATGCTTCTTCATCCGCAAAAAAATTATTTCATTGTTTACATTTGTCAAATTATCAATAGCAAATGTCATGACATGACAAAGCATGGTAACCTTGCTTTCTTGATGTTGGCAGCAACTTATAGTCTCTTTCCCACATTAGGGTTTTTATCCAAATTATTTACCCCTAAGTGTATTGGAGTTAAAATATATAGCCTAAAGCGTAACGGAAGTGTAGGGCTTTTTATTAAAGAAAGAATTTTTCAAAAATATGCTGTAATTGCTGACATCTTAGGCAACAAAGAAGTGTGTTTACGCTTTATTATATTAGTATAGATGTAAGCACAGTTTTCACAATTTATTACCAAGTCTAAATGTATGTACAGTTGTGGATATCTGCGGTGTACCATTTCGGGAAAAATTGCCCTGTTCTTTGCAACAAGACAAACTTCTCTTACAAATATCTAATTAGATAGTAGTAAAGGGGTAATACTAAAAAAAACTAGATTCATCTAATCGTTTTTTCGTAAACACATATTAAGCTTCATTGTATTGATTTTTGTTCTGCATAAAATGGTAAAAAGGTAGCTTTTGAGTTGGAACACTGTCGGTTTCCCCAACTGTACTTTAGTTAACTCATCGGTTTTAACTGAATAGTTGAACTGTACAGTTTAACAGACAGTTAAAATTGTTGTTGTTGCAGTTGACCTACATATCGATGGGTGAAGGGCTACTTGTTTTAATCGCTATTAGGTTAAAAATTTTCATTTTTAGAAAAAAACATAATAGCAAATCCTGAAAATAATTTCAATTACTATAATTGTGCATACTTCATTGTTTATTAACGATTTTGAATATATAAATATAAGTCAATATCGCCTAAAATGGCGGTTGAAAGAAAAAGCCTTTCATCCGTCGGTATGTTCAGTTTCAATTGAGCATCTGTAGCAAGCTTTAGATCATGTATTAGGAACGTCCTTTCATTGCGGTAAATTCTCTTATACAACTTGAATATACTATTTAAAATGTATTTTGTACTGTTATATGTGTGTAGAAATGTGTATTAAGAATATTCTAAAAATATCTTTATAGTGTAGCAGTCTTATAAATAAACATGGTATTATGTTAAATTTAGGAAACCGAGTATAAACTAATATTTTACTTTATACCACGTTTATTTCTAAGGCTGTAGATGTCTAACTTCTTATGAGCTATGGGACTTTTGAACCTTCTGTATATAAAATTATTGGAAACTAGAAAAGGAAACCTTTTGAAAACTTTATTGTACTGTCTATACTTGATTTTTACAAAATGTATGTATTCAAATTGAATGCTATTAAAATGAGAAACATTGGATCCGTCACTTTTGGTATTCGGAATAAATATTAAATACAGGGTGTTGTATCCTCCATAATAATATTTGAACATTATTAATAATGTAATAATCATTTTCACATCACTATTATATTTCAACAACCTCATAATTAAAATAAACTAAGGGACCTTTTGATAGTGGTAGTGCCCGCTTTAACATGTTAGCGCTGCTGGCCACGCCCCCAGTAATACCACCACCACACAGACAGGGGTGAAATGGAAGCAATTCCGTGTTTCGTCTGATGAGTGTGGTGCCGGAGGACTAATTTAAGTCCCTTTCTCTTTACCACCCTTTCCTTATGAGAGGATGGGAAGGGGAAGTGGATTTGACGATAGATGAGATACATAGAAAGGGGAAATATCCTCTTTATGTGCGTCTCCTTCTCCGTCGGATAATGGTAGGCAACGCATCTGCAATTGCGGATGTCTATGGGCAGCGGTCGCTTTGCCACTTTGGCGGATTCTGTTGGCCGCTTGCTCGTTTGCCACCTTATGTTATAAAAAAAAGCTAAAGTGGAAATCTATATTATTCATAGAATTGTCACAAAATGAATAATGATATATTTGAATGCAATGATTTATTTTCAGTTTTCACTGTCAAAACACTTGTATAATAACATATCGTCGTCTCTTTCACTCTTAGAAACCTATACTAATAATCATAAAAAATATTGGAATATTTATTGGAACATGTTATATACTTAATAAAAATATATATCGTTAAGATACTTTTAAAGATGTAAATGTTAGATGACAGATTTATAACCTACAGATAATCTGGACGACAAAATTTAACAAAATTGGCCTTCAAGGCCTTTGTTATTGTTTAAAATACATGATAATTTTTGAAAACCTTTCAATTTAAATGAATTTCTCTTGGCTCTCAGCGGATTGTGCCAGTATTGAATGTCTATGGTTTTTTGTCCGACTTCCCAAAAGAAGGAGGTACTCAATTCGTCTGTATGTTTTTTTATATGTTACAGCATAACTCCGCCGCTAGTGGACTTTGATAATTCTTTTTTTATCCGAAAAGTAATGCTTGCAGGTGGGTCTCATTTTTTTGTTTGATTTTTTTTTTAATTTATACTGGTAACAATAGTGCTTATAGAAAAATATAAAGAGAAAATTCAATCAACTACTTGTATGAAATTCATCTTTAGGTTATATATCTATGGTTAGATGTTTATGTAAATATAAATGCAAGCATTGGCACTGTTATTACTCTTAGAGCGCGCGCACACCTTTGATTAAAATATCGCACAACTGTTTTGTCTCGCGTTGATATAAGCTTGTATGGAGGTGTGCACACTTCTCGATATTTAGTTGTGCTAAACAATAGAATTGGCTGCGAAACAATCGACAATCGCACAACAGTTGTGCGATTGTTGAGTCAAAGGTCTGCGTCTGTTCTTATTATTAAAGTTAATTGACTGAATAATAAATCTTGTTAATTTGTTTTTAAAAAGATTTACATTTTTCAAAATATAATTCTTAGTGGCTCTGGATGATGTTGCTTTGTAACAATGGGAATAAAAAAAAATAATCTATGTCTATGGTGTCTAAATTTACTCACGCTTGATGCAAGATATATGTAATTGTTTTATTAAATGTTGTATCAAAATAGTAGTTTATTTATTTGAAACATCTTTTAAATTATCGAAGAAAGAATGGATTGCAAAATAATGTTTAAGGAGGAAGTGAATTCAGATTTGACGGCTGATGGAGATGTATGGAAAAGTAACCTCTAAGGACAAGGGCTGGATGATGCATCATCCTTATTCTATAAATAGCAGCCAATTTAATTATTGCTAGACGAAGTTCTATTTAATTCTATTTTCTATTTAGTTCTAATCAAAAACCAAGTAGCCTAATTATTCCAGACTATCCTCTACGTCTATGCCAAATTTCATTGAGATGTGTTCAGCAGTTTAGGTTACAAACTCTAACATTCACCCCTCCATCTGAACTTTCGCATTTATAATATTAGTAAGAAGTATGCTAGTATAATTATATTTTTTTTTTTTTTTTTGGGCGGCGCTATGCCGCCCTCTCGTTCCCCCTAACATGTTTTTGGGAAAGGGACGTTGGGTGCGGGTGGAACTCTTTATCTCTTTATTTTAAGTTTTTTGCTTATATCTTACAAATTTCTTAAAACTACTTTACAATTACAATAAAATACTATCACAGTTTTTGCCTTTTTAGGATTTCTGCTTATAGACTAAAAATGCTATAATGACTAGAATTAAATGACTACTTTAAAATTAGTAAAAAATGACTAGATACTACTACTACTACTACTACTATAAGATTAAAATGATACAATTAAGTTTACGATTAATAATAAAATTACAGTTAGATTAAAAAAAAAGGCACTAAAATAAAAAGATAAAATAAAATAAATAATAGGCTAAAAACTGTGTAAGTATAATTATATTAAAATTGTTTTAAAAGTTAACTTTTTTAATTACTTAAAATATAAAGTAATTCGGCTATTTATATACCCATTTATATGTATTACAATAGATTTATAACCTAAAATATTCAATTAGCGATAAGTTAATGTGAAAAAAAAAAAAGGACGCTGGTCACCTTTTGTAGGCATGAATTCCCGCACTATTTTTTAATTTATTTTCTTTTAGATAAAGACTTCAAACTATGAAATAGTCAATTTATAGGTTAAAATATCTACGTGACTTATTTGTTGAATCTTATCTTCAATCAGTAACTAAACAAAACATACAAAAATTCCTTAGAAAATGTAATTAGATGAATTATAAATATTTATGTAGTCATTATCTGCACAGATTAAATAAGGAAAAGCGAACGTTATCGAATTTTGACGTAGGTTTTTACGAAAAGCGCTTATAAAAATATTCTCATCCCTCTCATTTATTTGAAACAAACAGAGATAGTAATATGTATTACGAGTATCGCCAAAATAAATTAACAACGTTTACAAAAAATGACATGATTTATTATCAAATGAGGTGATTTGATGGATTTAAGCCGTTTTAAATAATCTGAAAACCCTCGACTTGAATGACATCACTAATTTCGTTATCGCAAATTTCGATTCAATTTTGAAAATACCAAATTCGTTAATGAATAGGGTGAACGGTCGTGTGATAAATAATTTTAAAATAATGTTTCCGTAAGGGAAATCATTAATAATATTAAAGTTTTAAAAAAAAGATTCTTTATCTGTCTGTTTTACTAACCATTAAGCTCATATGTTAGCTAAAATCAGTTTAGATTTAAGCATATCAACAGTTGGAACACTTTCTCTCCGATTACTGGGTCAAAAGCGAGTTACGCTTTTAACAAATATTTACTTATGATGTCTAGTAGTGTGCTTCTACACATTTATTCGTACATTATCCGCGTGAGACATACGATGTGGTTGTCTTAAAATTGTGAATAGAAACCAAAGTGTAGAATAAAAAAAAAGTAAGTTCAAAAAACTCTCCGTGAACACTAACGTTATTTGTTGACAGATCCTCAAAACCAGGTACCAATGTTGTTGCATTTTAAATAATATATATCGACTTAATTTTCTTGGGATTTATTTTCTTAGAAAGATCAAATTCTAATTCTAAAGATGAAAAATTTCATATTTGTATGTATTGATATCACTCGAAAACTATTGGGACGATTTCAAAAATTCTTTCACCAT